AGGAATGTTTGATCTGTATGAGTTACTCATGATGTATGTTATCCAACCAGCAGACAAAAAGGAGCAGCATTTTGCAAATATGATGGACAAGGCTGAAAACAGATACTTCCCAGTCTTTGAGAAGGTTTGTGGCAAAGATCTTGTAGCTCCATTGATGCTGTTACCTTGAACCTCCATCCTGGAAGCACCTTGGTTTAATGGAGGAAAACAGAAGAGAAGCTACCCCTGGAAAATCAATGCTCTGGTTTTAGTGGTGCTGGGATTAAGGTGGAGACAGGACACTACAGAGGGGACAGAGGGCACTTCACATCTGGGAGAGATGTACAGCTGCAAAAACCAGCACACACAGAGCTCCCCAAATGTCCATGTTTCAGTGTGTGTGTTGTTTCAGACAAAAGACTCTACAGCACCAGCTTTGACATCAAGTCTCCTCCTGAAGGGCAAACGGCCCTGTACCATACATGCTGTGTAAAAGCATTGCAGTTCCTCCTGTATCTCATACAGCTGAGCCTTCAGTGCAGCTACAGCAGGCAAGGCCAGATGAGCCCAACTGAGCTGCCAGACAGGAATGTAGAAGTGAAAGAGCTGATTGATGATGCCTAGGGTGGCAGTGCCTTCAGATCATTGTTTGTACTGCAGGTGTTTGAACTGCATTTCCTTCTTTCAGTGACAACTCTGTGCAATGTGTGACCCTGCTTTGAAGATATCACCTTGTTTATGAGAAAAGAACTGATAAAAGAGAGAGAAAAGACATGATTTGCTTCTGTTCTCTGTTTTTAGGTTTTGAAAGACCATGGAAAAGACTTTCTGGTTGGCAACCAGCTGAGCAGGGCAGATGTTCAATTGCTTGAAGTCATTTTGATGGCAGAGGAGTACAAACCTGATATACTTGCCAAATTTCCTCTCTTGCAGGTAAATGAATGGGTAATTTTAATGTTCAATGAATTGTAAAGAGCACTGATTTAATGTGGCTGAGAAATATGTGGGAGTAAGAGGGTCAGAAGTGACATGCAAAATAATCAAACACCCTAATATTTATATAATAGTAGGATTATTATATTATAATCAAATTTAGCTGGCCTCACCTACTCAATATTATTGCCACGTTTTGTCACTACAACGACAAAAACATAAGAGGGGAAGCAAATAATTTCTTCTGCAGCACCAAGCTGTAATGTATCTTTCAGGGCACAGATAACATTGAAATTTCTGACAGCTGCAATGATTCTTAAGCACGGTGTTGTTTTGATTTCATTTTGTAGAGTTTCAAAGCAAGAATAAGCAATATCCCCACAATAAAGAAATTCCTGCAGCCTGGCAGCCAGAGGAAACCACGAACCACAGAGGAAGATGTCGCCAGAGCAATGAAAATATTCCACTCTTGAGCAGCTGTCCAAACCTATAAAAGCTGTATGGGTATTTCATTGTATTTGCTCTAAGTGGCAAAATGAAATTAATGGAATTAGTGAAAAAAAAAAGAAGTTTGATCTCTCTTTCCTTAGCTACAGGACTGATTTTAGCCTACTGCAGACTCTTCAATGTAAAGCTACATCAGTGTACCAGCCAAGGAAACAGTTTGCTAAATAGGGGGTATATTGGACAACACAGAATGCTTTAAATAACTAAAGAGAATACCTGAAATAAATTCTTACTATTGATACTCAAAACCTGGCTGTTCATTGATTTCTTGCTGCTACTTCTACGCCTAAGATCTGTCTGGTTCTGTTTTTCTGACACTCCCAGGAATTGTTGGAAAATTTGGAGTGATTATCCCAAAGAGTAGGTCTTTTTTGCAATACAGCTAGTCTGTAGCTGGACAAATAAGTCTGGCTAGAATATGAAACCTAATTTGGCTCTTCTGGTTTGATAAATAACTCCCTAGGTGAAGAGTGATAGGATAGATTTGAACCTAAACAGAGCACCCCAACTAATCCCTCTCAACCATAAATGCAGAGACATTACTGGCCAGAGTGCTGGGCTATGTTAAGACCCAGACCAAGCAGCAGCTGAGTTCCGGTAGTTTAGAGCTGCCTATAGAAGAAACTCTGAACAATAAAACACGTGGCTTGTTGAGGACTGCTCGGTGAGTCCGTGTTGTGTGTCTGCCTCCAACTAAGCACCCATAACGTAAGAGGTCCTGTATTTTTTTCTGGGAAATGCCAGGAAAAGCCTGCAGGTTCTGGTTAGCTGAGGCTGAAAGTTTGGATTCTTCCTTCCTCTGAGCTGAACTTGGAATATCCTTGGACCAGAGCTCCTACTGTATCTCTGCTTTGGCACTAGACACTTGAAGTCTTGTAATGCAGCTTCACCCATATTTCCTTTATCAGGAGATCTATTGCAGCAGCTAAAAGCCCTTTACAGACTCTGAGAAACAAATGCTGGTCAGCAGGTAAAACTTGTTAAGGAAGGATTCAGGATCATGTCAGGTCTTAGTGAGACCCTGGAATGCAGGAGTGCATATTGACTTATGTGACTGTATATTAAACCAAGTTTATATAAAACAACTTGTATTAAACAAATACAAGATGTACTGGAGTTGTTCATTTTAATCACTTAAATCAAACCCCACTATTGAGGTTAAAAAGACTGTTGAGCTTTGATAAATATATGCAGTTATGTAGTGAAACGTATTCCTGTCCAAGGCAGGAGGGTTGGAACTAGATGATCTTTAAGGTCCCTTCTATCCCAAACCATTCTAAGATTCTGTGATACTACTTAAACCCCAAATAAACCAAGTTTGTAAATGAAAGAGTCAGTGCCCTAAATCCAGCTACAACTGGAGCACTGTCAGTTTTCAGCTGGGCAATCTCAGGGCTATGTAAGTCTCGGTAAAGCCAACAGTTTCTTCATAAGAAATGTCATGCAGCTGGAACCAGTTTTATTTTTATGAAAAAGGAAAAACCCCAATATTTTTCAGCAGCAAAGAATGTATTATAGAGGGTTGTTGCAGGAGCTGTTTCTCTCCTGCCTCACTGAAACGTTCAGACTTGCAGCTAGTGTCCAGGAAGGACCTGAGGGAGAAAGTCCCTCCTACTGTAACAACCAATTCTTTTGTGTGACACACTGCAATTTATACAGCCTCCCTGTGTAATTTAAGAAGAATATTCCTGCTCACTGCTACGTACAGGGTAATTCAGCCAAATATTGCACGTGGATGTTCACCTTGACTGCAGGTACTGCCTACATCAATATTAACCACGAAGATTAGATAGGCAGGATGGTGCAAGGAGGATTGCTCTGTATTGACATCGTAAGTCAAAACAGTTGGCAAAAGAAAACAGTCAGGAGTGCAGAGGGCCATTTGACTTCTGATACCACACTTCATTGTCTCTCACAGTTCTCTTTGGTGTGTATTTACACTGAGTCAAATTCAGGGAAACGTTTTTGACGAAAAAATGTAAAAACTGACCCCAATGTCCGTTGATGAAATTGAGCAGAAGTGTCCTGAAGGAATATACACTTAGCAAGGCATAAAAGCTTGTGACAGATTTGAGCTGAATTAGTTGATGTGATTTATGTAAAGTGGCAATGTATAAAAAGTAAAAAACCAAAAGCCATTAGAATAAAAGTGTGATTGGCATTGCAGCATTCTTTTCAACTGAGCTTTTCAGCCATTACAATTTTTTTAAACTAGCAAATAGGAGGCATATAACCATCTGTGCTAGGACAGATATTTCCAATGACCATGACCTCTCATCTACCTTACATATCTACATTGTCAGCATTAGTCAGGATTTTATTTTCTGTAGGTGAGAAGTAACTTAATAGAGATAATTGGTTTTGTTTGCTTAAGAGAAAGAGGTTTCCCATTTGCAGAGAATTGTTATCAATACTTGGTGTGGGAGGGGCTATAGAGATATATGATCTCAAGACAGAACGGCTGAGAGCTTAGAGTGAGTTCCACTGTGCACAAGGTAAGTGGGTTCTTTTATTTGGACATGCAGGGAGTTGTTGTATGTGAAACTCAGTCATTGAATGGGTTTTATAGAATAAATGTGTGTATGTACTTTCTTTACTAACATGGTTATGTGTACCAAATGTTAATTCTTAATCAGCTGCTTTTGAGGTGCAGAGAATTAGAAAAAGAAGTGCAGATGCAACAAGTGGGGAGTGTTTTCTCTCACCTCCTCCTTCCTACTGTAGAGAAGCTGACATTCTATTTACAAGGGGAATATGGTGGTGGTTTGGCTGTTTTCCTTTTGCTGCTGTTAAGGCTTCAGCTTTGTTGCTGACAGGGTGTCAATAGCTGTGAGGCTGGTACAGGCTGGGCACTGTTTGGGTGTGTTTGTGGCTGATGTGCACACATGGTTCTGAGTGGGGTGGGTGACAGTCTGCCCTGAAACTGTTGTTGCTTTAAGTGCCTGCCTAGAAGCTGTTGTTGCTGGAAATTCCAGCAGAGTTGGAACTGGACCAAGCAAGCATTGCCCTGAGGCTGTGCCTGTGGTAAAGGCAAATCTGATGTTACCAGAGGCAAAATTAACTTCCATTTTTTAGAGGTTTGTCTAAAGACATTTCAGAAGCATGGAGTGTTGTAAAAGGGATTGAGTTATGGAAAGGATTCCTTCCTGGCTGGTTATAATGGAGCATAATGGCTTCTAGGGAAAGCAGAGCAATTGCTGAGTTTATAGCATGTATCAGATTAAACAGTAACTGTGTTTTGAGATAATGCAAAAATGCACAATGAGCACAAGCAGCTTTCTCGTCAGAACAGAACACTTTGAATGAAAACTGTTTTGGTTGACTGGTTTTCTCTCTGGGCCAATTGCTGTAAGTACAGAGTTCTGCTTAAACATTGTGCATGTGTGAGTAATATTTGAAGGCAGAATGATACGCGGAAGTCTCTCAATATATTCTAACTTTTACCTCCACTGTTGATTAATTCAAGTCTTGGATGATAAATCATTGATTTCAAAAAAGACAACTTTGAAAGCAAATTAGAGAGTTTAATCCAGGATTGTGAATGTTTATTGTGCAACCCTGCTTTCTTCATTGCAGATACCAGGGAATTAGGCAGGTGGAAACATGTCTGGAAAACCCAAGCTGCACTACTTCAATGGACGTGGCCGCATGGAAACAATTCGGTGGCTCCTGGCAGCAGCTGGGGTTGAGGTTTGCTTCTGGTCTTTTGTACTGAGATCCTGTGACAAATATGTGCTTCTACTGTTCCTTCTGAAAAGTGCGACTGAGCAGCAGTTTCAAGCTCTGCCTTCAGTGCATTGCTGAGCAGGCCAACAGGGCCCATGAGCTTGCCCTAAGCAGGGGGCAAGTTCCTGTCTCGCTTGCATGCATCGTGTGCAAAGCCTGCAGGTAGCACCAGAAATGCTCCTCCCCTGTAGCTAGAGAGAGAAGAAATTTAGAACCCCAGCAGCAGAACCTGGCTTCCTAATCTTCTGATTACAGAGGTCAAGCACCTGCAACTCTGAGTACCTTCAGTTAAATTCCAATGTCCAAACCAGCAAGAGATTATTATTGCTGCCTCGATGTAGTTTGCCATTGAACGTACTGGATATTGTAAATCACAAAGTAAATTTTTTACCTCTGACAGATTCTGATACTAAACCTGAGATGGTGTATGGGAATCTGTGTGTTTCAAATACAAGGGTTTCTGTCACAGTGAAGGCCAATGTGCCTAAAAGATTTCAAATATTATTTATGTTTTAGAAATATAAAATTGCCCAAAACACATCACTTTAGGCCTTTTTTACCTAAAGGAGGAGAGGCTAAATCATGGAATAACAATAGAACATTTCTCCTTCCTGCAGTTCGAAGAATCTTTTGTGGAAAAAAAGGAGGATCTGACAAAGTTACAGAAGGGTAAGTTTCCTTCACTCTTCGATAATACAAACAGCAATACTAATAATAAAAATAATTAATTAATTTAGAATTAGAATTAGAATTGCTTGTCTGAGATCACCTAAGAATTCTGAAGTCTTAGTGCCTTACAAAGAAAATGGCTTATACAGTATTGTACATGAGCTCTCAGAGTTGCACACTGCCGTGTTAGGTGATATCATCCACCCAGGTGCTTCAACCTTCACTGAATGCCAGAAGGGCTGAGGTCAGAAGGGACCTCTCAAGATTATCTACTCCACCTCCCCCATTCAAGCAAGGCCCCCTCCAACCAGTTACCCAGGACCATGCCCAGCTGGGTTTTGAGTATCTCCAAGGATGGAGAATGTACAGCTTCTCTGGACAACCCACACAGTCCAAGAGCCTTTCTTGAAGTTCAGATGGTTGACTCTCCTTTGTTGTATTGCACTAAATAGTTCATTTAGTTGTTGTTTTGCACTGTGTGTCTGGTAAATTGCACTGATCACATGGTCTGTCTCCTTCTCCCCTTTGCCCCCTGAGCCCCAGTAGCAGTGGTTTCTCCCTGGTCTCCTCCTCTCCTCTCCCCCTCCCCACTTGTATCCCACTGCCTGTGGTTCTTTTCCTCCACCCTCCATTCTCCGGTTTGAAATCTCCCACCATCAAGCATTCCTCCTCTTTTTCCCCAGGGATGTTGCCTGGATTTCCAGGTGACACGTGTCAAGGAATAAAGTAGGGCTCTGGTCCCGAGGAGAAGAGAGCCTCGAGTCTTTTCCTTTTGTCCTCGTAAAGGCTGGGATGGGCGGGGGTCCAGAGCAGCCGGATGGGACCCGAACGGCCCCAGAGATCAGCCCCTACAGTTGGCACCCAGGGGTCATCTCCCACGAGGTCTCACTCCTTTGCTTCACTTTGTGACCACTGCTTTCCATCCTATGGCCATAGAGGCCTTTGTCTTCAGATCATCTTGAAAGTCATTAGCATCTTAGGTTGCCTTCAAAGTTGTGGTTTTATGATCCCTAAGAAAACAGAGTTCCAGATTTCCGAGTTTACCTGTTCCTTTGCTGCATTCCTGCCTCCCAAGGCAACAACCCTCCGTGCTGGCTTCCACTTCTGTCTTCCTGGCCATGATAATCATGTCTCTTCCAAACCAAATTGCATGTCTGTGCTCTTCACCTGGCCTGTGAAAAGCAACCTGATCTTGGGTTATCATTTGCAGTCCTGCTGTCCTGTAGGAATAATGACTTGGTCCCTATGTAACAGGCTGCCTTTCAAAAAGTATTTTGGGACACAAGCAGAATGCTAAATGCACCCTTACAAAGAGGGACATATCTGATCAGTCATCTGAATCAAGAAATATGATTCCATCAAGCAAAAACTCTTGCTGACTCTCTGGTCTGATACCTCTCTTTCTGGAGAAGATTTTTTACATCTTTCAGGCTAAGATAAGATTTCTGTGTGCTAGCAAAAGCGTTGCATGGCTCCAGCCTCACTCCAAGAGATATTTGGGTCTTGCAGGAATCTCATGGAACTCACTCATTGTTCCCACTTCATGCCTAGACAGATGTAAAGTCAAAATTTTGATCAAGAAGAATTTAATGTAGGGTGTGAAAGTTTGAGTATTGGGGAGTATAGTGTACCGATTTGATTGTGCAGGTGGAGGATGGCAATTAGTAGTGGGAGTGAGCTGGCCAGTGTGTAGAATAGGAGGTAAATGCCAGCATTTAGGTGTTCTGGCTGGTTCCCTCATTGTGTGATGAGGATGAGGGTGGGGATTAGGGTGCCTTTGTATGCGATATAGAAGAGCATTAGCTCTGAGGCCGACCAGGCTAGAAGGATGAACAGTTGAGCTAGGATTACTGTAGTGGCAAAGATTCGTTTGCGGGTGATGGGTTCTTGTTCTAGGTGGTTTTGGCTTGCTATGATTATGAGGGGGAGGAGTCAGCATGAAAGGACTAGCAGGAGGGAGGGGATTTGGTCAATGGATGTTCAGGGGGTTAGGCCTTTGGGTAGTATGTTGGTGTGAGTCATTGGAGGCTGACGGTGGTGAATCGTAGGCTGTATTATGTGTTGTTAGTCATAGGTGTTTGCGTGAGGAGACGAGGGTTAAGGGGAGGAGTACTGCGGTTGGGGCAATGATTTTTAGCATTGTAGGAGGTTGAAGTTGTTTAGGTGATTCCAGCCTTGGGGTTGAGTGGAGGCTACTGGTAGGGCCGGCCCAGTGCCTGCTTTGCAGGCGGAGAATGTTAGAATAAGGAAGGGTAGGATGGTAGAGGCTGCTATTTGTAAAGTCAAAAAAGTTGTCACAAAGATCTTCTATGCTTTTCTATTCACTATTATTTATATATTCACTAGTATTCACATTATATGTTGGCCAGTACTTAGAAAGTCCAGATGTATTTAGCAAAACATGACAGAAATTGGCTGGACCAGATCCTTCAGTCCTTCTCATCCCTATTAATCTCCATGAAAATCACCTGTGTTAGGGCCATACAGTGCATGTATTTTTCAGTGTGTGACAGCTGCCAGTTCTGCCTTTGGCTGTTTCCTCAATCTGAAATTTCCACAACTTCATTTCTATACTCTTAAGTTATTAACATGTCACAGCTGTATGGTGAGCATTTTCCACACCTTCCTGTAAGAATGAGGAAGGTTGCCACCAAAAGTGTTGTCAAGCATTGGAACAGGCTGCCCAAGGAAGTGGTTGAGTCACTGCGTGTAGACGTGCACTTGGGGAGAGGGTTTAGTGGTGGAATTAGGCATTGCTGGTTTTAAAATTGGATTTGATGATCTTGGGATATTTTATCCATCCAGATTGATTCAGATTCTAAATGGAAAGTAATATGTGTGGTTTCTCTGCCTAACATATGTGTGGGTGGTTCTCACTGAGGGACTGAACTTCTCCTTGTGTTCTTCCCTTTGGCCTAGATGGATCCCTGCTCTTTCAGCAAGTGCCGATGGTAGAGATAGACGGGATGAAGCTGGTGCAGACCAGAGCCATTGCCAACTACATATCAACCAAGTACAACCTCTACGGGAAGGACGTGAAGGAGAGAGCCCTGTACTGTAACAGTACCACCTTTGCTTGTTGGACCCCAGCCCACCCTGTAGCTCAGGGAAACACAAGGGTATCCAGCTCCCAGCTCGATTCAGTGGGAGAGGGCAGCAGTGCACGAGATCACTGTGACTGCAGCTGATGTCTACAGCAGAGAGAGCCAGCTGGATTCCATAGGGCAAGCGAGCCCAGGAACCATCAGTCAGAGGTCCATGCACTTATCAGAAGAAAGCAGTCGGGGGGCAGACTGTCCCACTGATGCTGCATTTCATTTTCTCCTGCAGTTGTCAGCAACATCATTTTACCCTCCTCACATTCAGGGCAATGTCTTTTAAGGGAAGAAAAACCCTTCTCTCTCTAATAACCAGGAATTAGTGCAGATTTAATTACAGGTTTTTAAAGGTCAGGACTCCCGGGGCTCATGTTTTCACCTGAGGAATTTCTAAATGCTTGAACTTAACAATCTCCGGTAAACACTTGTGTCATGATATTTGCTAGAAATGGTATGGAGCTGCTGTTAAACTTAGGCTGTCTTATTGGATTTTTAACATGAGTCTGGATGGCACACGTGAGAATTCTGTAGTCAGGTTCACAAACCCATATTCCAGACAAGAATCAGTCCCAGTAAGTAGTGGGAGTCCTACAGTCTTTAGGTTTCCCTAGGAATTTTGCATTTTCCTTTGGCCCAAGCCCCCCCCTGCCTGGCCCCAGTGCAACTGCATTCCAGGGGGATCTTTGCCAGGGTATGTGTGTGTGTGTGGGATAGAAGGGGCAGAGATTTCCCAGCATCTCAGTGAGGTTGTGCCAGGAGTTATTGTGCTGTTCAGACCTCCTGTGTGACCTGACCAAGTGGATCTCTTCCTTTCAGAATCGATATGTACGTGGAAGGAATGTTCGATCTAAATGAGTTACTCATGACATATGAAATCCAACCAGCAGACAAAAAGGAGCAGCATTTTGCAAATATGATGGACAAGGCTGAAAACAGATACTTCCCAGTCTTTGAGAAGGTTTGTGGCAAAGATCTTGTAACTCAATTGATGCTGTTACCTTGAATCCCCATCCTGGAAGCACACTGGTTTAATGGAGGAAAACAGAAGAGAAGCTACCCCTGGAAAACCAATGCTCTGGTTTTAGTGGTGCTGGGATTAAGGTGGAGACAGGACACTACAGAGGGGACAGAGGGCACTTCACATCTGGGAGAGATGTACAGCTGCAAAAACCAGCACACACAGAGCTCCCCAAATGTCCATGTTTCAGTGTGTGTGTTGTTTCAGACAAAAGACTCTACAGCACCAGCTTTGACATCAAGTCTCCTCCTGAAGGGCAAATGGCCCTGTACCATACATGCTGTGTAAAAGCATTGCAGTTCCTCCTGTATCTCATACAGCTGAGCCTTCAGTGCAGCTACAGCAGGCAAGGCCAGATGAGTCCAACTGAGCTGCCAGACAGGAATGTAGAAGTGAAAGAGCTGATTGATGATGCCTAGGGTGGCAGTGCCTTCAGATCATTGTTTGTACTGCAGGTGTTTGAACTGCATTTCCTTCTTTCAGTGACAACTCTGTGCAATGTGTGACCCTGCTTTGAAGATATCACCTTGTTTATGAGAAAAGAACTGATAAAAGAGAGAGAAAAGACATGATCTGCTTCTGTTCTCTGTTTTTAGGTTTTGAAAGACCATGGAAAAGACTTTCTGGTTGGCAACCAGCTGAGCAGGGCAGATATTCAATTACTTGAAGTCATTTTGATGGTAGAGGAGTGGAAGCCTGATATCTTTGCCAAATTTCCTCTCTTGCAGGTAAATGAATGGGCAGTTTGAATGAGGAATGAATTGGAAAGGATCACTGATTTGAAGTGGCTGGGAAATATGGGAGAATGAGAGGGTCATAAGTGACATGCAAAATAGTAAAATATCCTAAGAACTTTAACTTCCCTCACATCCTCATTGTTATTGCCACATTCTGTTACTACAACCCCAAAAGCATAAGAGGGGAAGCGTATAGTTTCTTCTGCAGCATCAAGCTGTGATGTGACTTTCAGAACATGGACAACATTGAAATGTCTGACAGTTGCAATGATTCTTAAGCACTGTGCTGTTTTGGTTTTGTTTTGCAGAGTTTCAAAGCAAGACTAAGCAATATCCCCACAATAAAGAAATTCCTGCAGCCTGGCAGCCAGAGGAAGCCGCCAGCAGATGACGATGTTGTAGACAAAGTGATGAAAATTTTCTACTCCTGAGCAGCACCCTAAAGCCACAGAAACTCTGTTTCATTGTATTTGCAGATAGTAGGAAGGTGAAATTAATGAAAAGAATGGAAATGTCAAATTATTGGAACAAGTGCAAAAATGGTTTTGATCTTTCCTTAGCAACAGGGTTGGTTTTAGCCTACTGCAGACACTTCAGTGTTAAACTACATGAGTGTACCAGCAAACGAAACAGTTCACTAAATAGGGGGTATATTGGACAACACAGAATGCCTTAGATAAGTAAAAAACTACCTGAAATAAATTCTTACTATTGATATTCAAAACCTGGCTGTTCATTGATTTCTTGCTGCAACTTCTAGGCCTAAGGTCTGTCTGGTTTTGTTTTTCTGCCATTCGCAAGACTTGTTGCAAAATTAGGAGAGATTATCCCAAATAGGAGGCCATGTTTTTTTTTTTTTTCCCTAGGAAATTCGTAGAAAAGCCTGCATGTTCTGGCTAGTTGAGGCTGAAAGTTTGGATTCAGCTTTCCTCTGAGCTTAACTTGGAATATCCTTGGACCAGAGCTCCTAGTGTACCTCTGCTTTGCCACTAGACACTTGAAGTCTTGTAATGTGGGATCTCAGTCTCTCAGAACTGGGGGGCTCGGGAGTCCTGGAATGTTGCCAGAAATGTCTGGTGGCTGGACTTTGATCCCACATGGGAGATGACATCAGTATGAGGACAGGAGGATTTCACTGGGGTGAATGGTGAAGGGACAAGTTAATTGGAGTGTGAGATACAGGGTTTAAGATCCCTGTACAGGGGGGTCTAGAGAGGTAAGATCGAGGAATTGGGGCGTGCCCTTCTCCTTCTTCTTCTTCCTCTAGGCCTCCATCTTCTGTGGTGGAGTTGGCACTCCAGGATTGGACCTTACTAGAGGAACACTGGTTAATAAGGGTAGAGGGTATTGGAGAAAAATGATAAATATTGTATACGTAACGCCGGGTATAAAGATAGGTGGCCGCCCCAGGGGCTCTCAGTGTGTGCCCATGGCTGACTGCTGAGCAGAACTCTGTCAGGCCAAGAGAAAATCTTTTAGATAAGCAATTAATAAACACCGAGACCGAGAACAATTCTGAAGCTTCCTCTCGTCCTTTCGAACCCCGGGGGCCCAAGGCCATCTTTGGGCTTTTCCCAGACCATCTAGACAGCATCAAAATCCGACATTGTAATGCAGCTTCAGCAATGTTTCCTTTATCAGAAGGTCTGTTGCAGCAGCTAAAAGCCCTTTGTAGACTCTGAGAAACAAATGCTGGTCACCAGCTTAAAACTTGTTAAGGAAAGATTCAGGATGGTGTCAGGTCTTAACGAGACCCTGGAATGCAGGAATCCATATTGACTTATGTCACTGTATATTAAACCAAGTTTAATACAAGTTGTACTGGAGTTGTTCATTTAAATTACTTAAAGCAAGCCCCACTACTGAGGTTAGGAAGACTTTTGATAAACTTGTTGCACTTTGATAAATATGTGCATTTATGTAGTGAAATGTATTCCTGTCCGTGGCAGGAGGGTTGGAACTAGATGATCTTTAAGGTCCCTTCTACCCCAAACCATTCTAAGATTCTGTGATACTACTTAAACCCCAAATAAACCAAGTTTGTAAATGAAAGAGTCAGTGCCCTATATCCAGCTACAACTAGAGCACTGTCAGTTTTCAGCTGGGCAAAATCAGGGCTCTGTAGGTCTTGCTAAAGCCAACAGTTTCTTCATGAGAAATGTCATGCAGCTGGAACCAGCTTTTTCATTTAAAAAGAAAATAAAACCATGTTTTTCATCAGCAGAAAAGCATGCTGAAAGATGCAGAGAGTTGTTGCAGCAGCTGTTTCTCTCCTGCCTCACTGAAGCATTTGGACAACACTTGCAGCTAGTGTCCAGGAAGGATCTGAGGGAGAAAACCCCTCCTACTGTAACAAACCAATTGTTTTGTGTGACACTCTGCAATTTATACAACCTCCCTGTGTAACATAAGTGAATATTCCTGCTCACTGCTATCTTCAGGGTAATTCAGCCAAAATTTGCATGTGTACGTTGGCCTTGACTGCAGGTACTGCCCACATCAATATTAACCACATAGATTAGATAGGCAGGATGGTGCAAGGAGGATTATTCTGTACTAACTGTCTCAGATCAATACAATTCTATAATGTAAGCACTCAGGAGTGCAGAGGGCAGTTTGCTATCTGATACCACACTTCATTCACTGTCTCACACAGTTCTCTTTGGTGTTGGTGCATATTTCTACTGAGTCAAAGTGAGGGTAACATTTTTTAAAGAAAAAAATTCAAAACCAACCCTGCTGCCCAGAGGTGAAATTGAGCAGAAGTGTCCTGAAGGAATATACACTTAGCAAGGCATAGAAGCTTGTGACAGATTTGAGCTGAATTAGTTGATGTGATTTATGTAAAGTGGCAATGTATAAAAAGTAAAAAACCAAAAGCCATTAGAATGAAAGTGTGATTGGCATTGCAGCATTCTTTTCAACTGAGCTTTTCAGCCATTACAATTTTTTTAAACTAGCAAATAGGAGGCATATAACCATCTGTGCTAGGACAGATATTTCCAATGACCATGACCTCTCATCTACCTTACATATCTACATTGTCAGCATTAGTCAGGATTTTATTTTCTGTAGGTGAGAAGTAACTTAATAGAGGTAATTGATTTTGTTGGCTTAAGAGAAAGAGGTTTCCCATTTGCAGAGAATTGTTGGCAATACTTGGTGTGGGAGGGGCTATAGAGATATATGATCTCAAGACAGAACGGCTGAGAGCTTAGAGTGAGTTCCACTGTGCACAAGGTAAGTGGGTTCTTTTATCTGGACATGCAGGGAGTTGTTGTATGTGAAACTCAGTCATTGAATGGGTTTTATAGAATAAATGTGTGTATGTACTTTCTTTACTAACATGGTTATGTGTACCAAATGTTAATTCTTAATCAGCTGCTTTTGAGGTGCAGAGAATTAGAAAAAGAAGTGCAGATGCAACAAGTGGGGAGTGTTTTCTCTCACCTCCTCCTTCCTACTGTAGAGAAGCTGACATTCTATTTACAAGGGGAATATGGTGGTGGTTTGGCTGTTTTCCTTTTGCTGCTGTTAAGGCTTCAGCTTTGTTGCTGACAGGGTGTCAATAGCTGTGAGGCTGGTACAGGCTGGGCACTGTTTGGGTGTGTTTGTGGCTGATGTGCACACATGGTTCTGAGTGGGGTGGGTGACAGTCTGCTCTGAAACTGTTGTTGCTTTAAGTGTCTGCCTAGAAGCTGTTGTTGCTGGAAATTCCAGCAGAGTTGGAACTGGACCAAGCAAGCATTGCCCTGAGGCTGTGCCTGTGGTAAAGGCAAATCTGATGTTACCAGAGGCAAAATTAACTTCCATTTTTTAGAGGTTTGTCTAAAGACATTTCAGAAGCATGAAGTGTTGTAAAAGGGATTGAGTTATGGAAAGGATTCCTTCCTGGCTGGTTATAATGGAGCATAATGGCTTCTAGGGAAAGCAGAGCAATTGCTGAGTTTATAGCATGTATCAGATTAAACAGTAACTGCGTTCTGATAATGCAAAAATACACAATGAGCACAAGCAGCTTAGTGGTCAGAACAGAACACTTTGAAAGAAAACTGTTTTGATTGACTGCTTTGTTCTCTGGGCCAATTGCTGTAAGTACAGAATTCTGCTTAAATATTCTGCATGTGTAAGTAATATTTGAAGGCAGAATGATACGCGGAAGTCTCTCAATATATTCTAACTTTTACCTCCACTGTTGATTAATTCAAGTCTTGGATGATAAATCATTGATTTCAAAAAAGACAACTTTGAAAGCAAATTAGAGAGTTTAATCCAGGATTGTGAATGTTTATTGCGCAACCCTGCTTTCTTCATTGCAGATATCAGGGAATCAGGCAGGTGGAAACATGTCTGGAAAACCCAAGCTGCACTACTTCAATGGACGTGGCCGCATGGAACCAATTCGGTGGCTCCTGGCAGCAGCTGGGGTTGAGGTTTGCTTCTGGTCTTTTGTATTGAGATCCTGTGACAAATATGTGCTTCTACTGTTCCTTCTGAAAAGTGTGACTGAGCAGCAGTTTCAAGCTCTGCCTTCAGTGCATTGCTGAGCAGGCCAACAGGGCCCATGAGCTTGCCTTAAGCAGGGGGCAAGTTCCTGTCTCGCTTGCATGCATCGTGTGCAAAGCCTGCAGGTAGCACCAGAAATGCTCCTCCCCTGTAGCTAGAGAGAGAAGAAATTTAGAACCCCAGCAGCAGAACCTGGCTTCCTAATCTTCTGATTACAGAGGTCAAGCACCTGCAACTCTGAGTACCTTCAGTTAAATTCCAATGTCCAAACCAGCAAGAGATTATTATTGCTGCCTCGATGTAGTTTGCCATTAAACATACTGGATATTGTAAACCACAAAGTAAATTTTTTACCTCTGACAGATTCTGATACTAAACCTGAGATGGTGTATGGGAATCTGTGTATTTCAAGATACAAGAGCTTCTATCACAATGAAGGCCAATATGGCCTGAAAGATTTCAAATATGATTCATGTTTTAGAAATATAAAATTGCCCAAAACACATCACTTTAGGCCTTTTTTACTTAAAGGAGGAGAGGCTAAATCATGGAATGACACTAGAACTTTTCTCCTTCCTGCAGTTTGAAGAATCTTACCTGGAAAAGAAGGAGGATCTGACAAAGTTACAGAAGGGTAAGTTTCCTTCACTTTTAGATAATACAAACAGCAATACTAATAATCAAAATAATCAATTAAAATTTGATTTAGAATTGCTTGTCTGAGATCACCTAAGAATTCTGAAGTCTTAGTGCCTTACAAAGAAAATGGCTTATACAGTATTGTACATGAGCTCTCAGAGTTGCACACTGCCGTGTTAGGTGATATCATCCACCCAGGTGCTTCAACCTTCACTGAATGCCAGAAGGGCTGAGGTCAGAAGGGACCTCTCAAGATTATCTACTCCACCTCCCCCATTCAAGCAAGGCCCCCTCCAACCAGTTACCCAGGACCATGCCCAGCTGGGTTTTGAGTATCTCCAAGGATGGAGAATGTACAGCTTCTCTGGACAACCCACACAGTCCAAAGACTTTCTTGCAGTTCAGATGGGTGACTCTCCTTTGTTGTATTGCACTAAATAGTTCATTTAGTTGTTGCTTTGCACTGTGTGTCTGGTAAATTGCACTGATCACATGGTCTGTCTCCTTCTCCCCTTTGCCCCCTGAGCCCCAGTAGCAGTGGCTTCTCCCTGGTCTCCTCCTCTCCTCTCCCCCTCCCCACTTGTATCCCACTGCCTGTGGTTCTTTACCTCCACCCTCCATTCCCTGGTTTGAAATCTCCCACCATCAAGCATTCCTTCTCTTTTTCCCCAGGGATGTTGCCTGGATTTCCAGGTGACACGTGTCAAGGAATAAAGTAGGGCTCTGGTCCCGAGGAGAAGAGAGCCTCGAGTCTTTTCCTTTTGTCCTCGTAAAGGCTGGGATGGGCGGGGGTCCAGAGCAGCCGGATGGGACCCGAACGGCCCCAGAGAT